TAGATATGTTCATTGTAAGGTCGTGTTCGATTACAAACATATCTAGAAAATTTAAGTTACCTTTATCCATTTTTAAATATAAAGAAACATTATTCGCAAAATGTAGCTCACAGTGTAGGCATCAAGATTGAGTAAGACAAACATAAATCGCCTGCGCACGCCCTTGCGAAGCCGTAACAGGTTCGATTCCTCGCACGACCTTACCATCTTCTTATAAGGTGACCATTGAGTAATTATGAATAAACGTTTTTTAACACTGTAGTCGATTTCAAACTATTTTGTGATTCTAATAGTTTAAAAATATTATGAAAGCTACAGTATTGGTAATATTTTTATCCTCTCAAACATGCAGGTTTCACAACAAGTTTTACTTTAACTGCCCATAGAACGCTTTCCGTGCACTAAAAATTGCAATTAATAGTTTAAGGGAAAACTGTATAAAAAGTGTTATTATAATATTAAGGAATACATTAATGAAAATAACCCCTGCGAACGAGGTGATCGCTAAAATTCTGGTTCTATTATAAATGATATAAATTACTGAACAAAATTATTGTAAATTTATATAATATGTCTAAAAACTAAGGATTTCTTGCTGGTTTTACCCAGCACAGACGTGTTTTTCAAACAAGTGGTAAGTAAAAAAAATTACTTTCAATCAGTATTATGTATTAGTCTATAATAAAAATTATTCTATTCCATTCTATGGGAATCGTACTTGGTTCGCTCGTATACAGGTGAATTTTAAGGTGAGTGGGTAGCTTTTGAACTACCATGGCTTAAAATGTAATATTAATACCCTTTCCTTGTGCCGTGAGTCATTAATATAGTATGCCGATTGCTTAACTATTATGACTGTTTCGCGGTCTATGATAATATAACATCTGTGAAAATATTATATGTAAGTAAACGTTTAGAGACCTAATTCTGGAGTGATGTAAGTTAAGAGATGATGGCAGATAATGTGGTGATTCCACATTCAATGCAACGAACTAAACTTTATATTCAAGAGGTGAATTGAAGTTACGCATAAAACTGTTGATGCAACACAATTGAAGGCGCTCTCTTTCGTCTATAGTAAAATATATTTCGAATGTCAGCTATTTTAAGGTTTTAAGTATAGCATGGTCATGTCATCAAGGCATATGAGCATGGTGAAAGATACTAGGCGATACTCGTTATAAGAATAAATGCTCTCTACTATGAGATGCCCTTGAATATGAGATTTAAGTTAATTTTCGTATACTTTCCGGTGCAGGCTTTTTCAAATGTATCAAATAATTTAAACTTATCAAGCTTGGTAGGGCAGTGGTTTATGGTTTTGTTACGACGCAATATGTAGCAAGTTCAATGCTTGTACGAGACAAATATCTTTTTGCCTATTTGATTCTGGCGGTTGTTTTAGTAATATTTTTAAAAAGCCTCCGAGAAACAAAATAAATTTTACGCAGTTGGGAAAACGTTTTCTTTTAAAATCACATAACGGGCTGCATTTGTCGGGCCTTAACTTTCATATTAGATCTTAGGTGTGACAACGCATCTGCATTTGTATTCTTAATCGAAGATAGATGTAGATATCTATGGACTACAGCATCCAAATACCATCACGTGGTCTGTGTTTCGTTTCTTATCCTTATTCTGTAAAAAAATTGTACTTTTGTGTAATAATAATTTCATCTCCTTCTGACAGAATTTCAGTCACGGTAACGGCTCTCAAAAAAAAAAATTCACCATCTCCTCATTGCAGGTTATTAATGCACGAGTGTATGCTTAAGCGTAATGCACTCTGTATTCCCTCACTCAAATTAACTTCCGAGCCACGGGGATGCACCACCAATTTCCTGACATCTGTCTGTTACGGAAAATTTAGTCATAGAAAAATCCAAAAAATGATTCTGGCCCGACTAAGTATTGAGCCCTTGGCCATATGATCAGCAGTTGCTCTTTCGTTTACTAAACTATCGAAGTATACGGCTCCGTGGCGCAGTGGCTTAGCAATAAGTTGCAGCGCCAAGGGCCGCGGGCTCGAATCCCACACGGTACAATTATTCGTATCGCCTACAAATAATTGTTCCAGGTCTGCATGTTTATCCTTGTGAAATTAATGTATGTAAACTGCCCCCGCGATACAAGAGAAAATTCTAGTATGGAGGTAATGTTTTTTTTTTAAAATAAGATAAAATAAGAGTATACTGTGCGGTATTGTACTGCACAGACATAATGTCGTAATTAAAGCTCGATGGAATTGTTGAAGAGCAATTTAAACATTATACGTAAAGATTTTAACATCCATAGTTGGGAACGGTTTTGCAAGTGTATAAGCATGAAGCGGAGCAGATGAGTTTAAGCATGTGGGAGGCGTTTCTCAATATTACGTATATATGCGAAGACATTAATAAAACAGAAATAATGTGGTTTGGTAATCAAGCTTTATATATGTCTGCATATAATTCAACCATAATAAGTAGTAAGAATCAACTTTTATGCGTGCAGATTGAAACCGAAATAGCAGATAAGGCAAAAGGGTTAATTTTGTTCTGCGTTACCTAATCATATATATGGGATGTTTGTCAACACTGTATTATAGTTTAACTGCTCAAAATGAAACTGAATTCTTATCTTTTTACATCAATTCTAAAATATATTTTTTAATTTTTAATTTAAATAAATTATTAAAACTAACCAACTACTTAAAATCCATCACCCCATTTCATGCCGTGAGTATACTACTAAAGAGGCTACTATAAAAATGCCGGAAAAATCTTATGTCTTCTCATTGATAGCGGCATAACCATCTCGTTTAAGCCAGACGCAAAATGTCAAGATCAACTGTGATTATCGATCCGCCTGCCAAACGGAATGATTAAGGCATATTCTCCCTATAACCAGCGAGGTCCATATCCAACAGAGAACTCTTAGGGACTAATGAAGAAGAAAAATAATTAACCAAATAAATTCCCGAGATATATGCCGAGATTCTAATGAGATGTCACTTAAGTGTGATTTAAGTTTATGATTGCGTTTAACTCTTTTATAAGAGAGAAGTAAGAATTCCAGGCGTGTCCTTGTAATAAGTTTGGTCCTTTCATTTACAATACTAATCTTTGTCTCTTAAATACAAGTTCCGGTTATATTCAACTAGAGTTATTACGAACACGATGACGTCACTGGTAATGTAGGTGTACAATTTTCGAGGTGGAGGCGTATAACCTTGACTTCTTTGCTGACTGAGTTAGAACTAAACGGACAATGACATAAAGCTAGAGCTGAATCTTTAATCGTCGTATTGCGTGTTAGTTCCAACTGAATAATGAAATTATTATTCGTGAGATAACTGGGTAATTTGATAGGTATTCAGGTCTTAAACTAAGCTTTTACACATAACAATTTTATGTGGAATTAAATGACAAAGGTTTTTTACTTAGGTATGTAGTTATTATAAAAATAGATGAATACATGCACTCGGCGGCACAGTAAGTTCAGGTCTATTGAGAATTGGATCCAAATACTAGTGAATTATTAAAAACTGTTATAAATTAAAAACTCTACATTTATATTTTATGGATTTGGATTTCTCTTTTAAGTACTTACAAGTTTCTTGTCATTTTTATTAGGTTAAATAAGTTGAAAATGTCTGTGTTATTGTTTTTTTTATAGGATAAGTGTGACAAACGAGCACACAGTCCACCTGATGGTAAGTGGTTGCTGTGGCCCATAGACATCTACATCTATCTTCGATTAAGAATCAAAATACAGATGCGTTGTCACCCGTGAGGACTAAGATGGAATACCTCGTTTCCAGTAAAAAGGGTCTCCGGTTCTCTACACTCCCCATACGAAACACAGCAGTGTTATGCTGCTATTTTACGCTGGTATTCTGTGAGAGCGTGGTCCTTTCCCGGTCGAGCCGACTCATTCGTGTTACAACTATACTATTAATATAGCTGCAGCATGGCTCTACCACATATTATTCTAATCTAGGATAACAGTTTTCTACACGCATGTCCTGCTGTGCCAAAATGGAGATTATCTCTTAATATCTTTTCAGTCTTTTGTTTTCTACACTCTCTTTACGGAACACAGCAGCATTAAAATGCTATTTTACGCTAGTATTCTGTAATAACGTGGTTCTTCCCCAGTCAAGCTGAACCATTTGTGCTACAACCATGATATAGATGTAGCATGACTCACGTATAATTATATTCTTAGGCTTACCAATTCCAATTGATTCTTGATTTTTAAACGGGTTGCATATCGAGCATCTCATAAAACTTGTTCTTTTAATTGCAAGCCTTTGATTGTATACAAGCGTTGCGAGTTACATCGTGTATCTTATTTTATTAAGTATAGTTAATGACATGAACAACGCAGTATTGGTGGTGTAAGAGTTGCCACTAACCAATAACCCAATATCGTCCCGTGGGTGTCGTAGGAGGAGAAAACAAACTAGGAGATAGGCAACAAGCTCTTCCTGATAACAATAAAAATAAAAACTGCCAACGCACCTGCCAAGTGGGACAACTATAGCAAACATCCCCCTACGAGGTAATCTATGGGGAGGCCTGTGTTTAGCAGTTGACTTTTGATAGACTGAAATGATGACGACATGTTGTTAACCAGTAATTAAAACAATATTAAGTAAATTAATAATAGAATTGATAGTGTTGATTCGACTCAAGAATATTGGTTAAGTATGTATGTAATACATACTTATTTCAATAATCTTATTTTTATGATTTTCCACTATCAAAATAATTAATCTTTTGTGCATGATATCCTTCAAGTATTTAATTCTTCTTAATTATCATTACGCAAATATCCAGTTCAAACTAGGTATATCATTTTTCTAGTCTAATATAAACCTTCCCAACGTCTTTTCCAAATTCAACGGTTTTGTTTGAACAACAGAGCTGTCAATCAAATATGTATCTGTTTAAATACCTGTTTTTTTTTAAAATTAATATCATTATTTTAATACAGACTAGTGGAGATCCTCTTACCTTTTCCTATAATTTATTTTTAAACACAACACTCCGAACGCTACGTACTCATCGAAACAAAAATAAAACCACACAACACACGTTCTTTTTGCATGGACACTAAAACCACATTCCTTTGAAGGCGCACATACAAAATTTTTAAAAAAAGTTCACATCCTTGGACTCGCCAAATGTTTTGAATATTACTGTTACAATATTTCTTTAGACTAAATTCGTTCGATAATTCGTTATTTAAATTTCAAAATGGCGCCTTAATTTAATTTTGGATGTGGTTCGTATTCGTTTTTGATTATCGTTTTTTCTCGCATGGCGACCGCGCGTTCGCTCCTCGTGTATAGAACTGGCCAGTTGCGCAGGCGACGTTAAGTCAAGACCGAACCGGTTCGATGAAGCCAAAAAGGTCGTATATCGATAAATTTATGCAAGACTATACCTAAAACCAGAATAAATGATGATGTCAGAAGGATATTCAATCATTTTCTTTCATAACGGTATGATTTTAAGATGAATAATTGTGCTTAAATAAAAGTATATTTTACATTAGAATAACGTTAATTTTCCACTATAGGATAAGCGACCATTCAGTCAGCCTTAAGTATTTTTTTTATAAAAATAAAATTACGAATTTTGTCGCGTTAGATTTAGCTTATTTAACTTATTTTTAATTCCCGCATTTCCAGGTGATTTACAGCACCCATGTTCACGGGGGTGGTGAGGTGTTTGACGTCCCGAAGTCATAGTTAGCCTGGCTGCCATTAGCTTTTGAATATGAAAAATGACAGCATCCCATTACAGTATACCAAACAGATAGGAACACCAATGAAATGAGAAAGTGTGTGATAAGAGAAGTGTGGTTTGCAAAAAGAAGTTATGACTGTGCAAAGGATTAAGAAATGAATGTTTCGGTGGTTAGATCATCTAGAAAGAATGATTTAAGAAAGAGTGACAAAGCAAATTTATGTTGCCGAATTGAACGGCAGAGGTGGCAAGAGATAATCTAGGTGGAATTTTATTGACCAAATTGGCGATATACTGAAGATGGGCAAAATTAAGTGTATCCTTAATCGACGATCATGTATGCGTAGGTATATGGACGTGTCCAATATTTATTACTTTTTAGCGAACATCAAAACACAATTGAAGATTCTTTCTGTATCATTATAGTCAGGCAATGTTGCTTAACAGTATATAATACCATTGCAGGGTTGCTGTTTGACAGTATGTAATACCATTGCAGGAATCGTACATACAAAGTGTAAAAGTTAAATCATTTTTTACTATTTGTAGAGAAAAGGGAAAATAAAATATTGGCATAATTGTATTATGTGATAAAATTACACCGCATTTTGAGTCCATGTTAAGCTCTTGATATTAACATATTGCCTTTAAATTAGAGCGTGATCTGTTACGTGTTTTGTAAATCAACAAGTATTGACTATTCTACTTGAAATTTAGTCCACGTTGGCATTGGACTGGGATACTAAAACAGGTACAGCAAGTTGTTTTTTCTTTGTGTCTTGGCGACTTCAACGAAGGAGTGGTTTCAATCGATCGTGATAACTAGAAAATTTAAGTCTCTAAATCTCTTTAATATTTTTATAACTGTTTATGTACATAACATAATAAAAAATATTTAATAAAGGGAAAATTTATAGAGACAAAAACCCTGCGCACGACACCGTAAAGGGATAAATACAAACATTTTCCTTACATGGTAGTCCATGTAGCCCAAACTCGTCAACACCGCTACCGCAGAGATAACGATTAGGTTGTCATATTACCACGACTATGCACAAGCTTTACCCGTTAAGTAATGTGCAGATATTGATCATTACAATACAGCATTTCAAACTGAACATAGGCATCCACATATATTGCCAACTGAGAGCCGCGATTGGAAAAGTATGTAACCAGTGACTAAACTAGTCACTTAGATGAAATAGAAGACGGGTCTGATCTTAGTGATTATAGAAATTATGAAACAAATAACTCTTCACATAACTTACCAACGCAATATCTTAATGCTTCTATCGATTGGCTTCCAGTTCTTTCATTCTCGCTTCAAAAGAATGTTTGTCATGCATACTTTGCTATTTCAAATTTTGTTACAAATCACTGACACCATGCATGGAAGCAAGGAAGCCCGGCAATCCAGTACTTTTAAGAAAATGAAACATCAAACAAACAAAGTAAACAAAATGTATTTTATTATTCTTGACATTTCTTCATTTGAAATAATATAATCATTGGTTGCAAAAATTACCTTTAATAATATACTTATTATAAGAAAAGAACTAAAAAGAATAAAATAATTTCTTTTATTATAACTATAAAAAGGCGTAAATGTACCTTTTTTAGAATATGATGAATATTATATTAGATGATGTAAAAAGATTAACTAATTTTCAATTGATAATTCAATATTATTGTCCAGGTTGACTGGGCGCGTTAATAGTTCCATAAGAAACTTAGATTCCTGCCATGAATTGGATTAAAATTATTGAGGATAAGTTTATTTCTAAATATGGTGGGACAAAATATCAATTATCTAACGTTATCTCTATATAGGATTACGTCATAGTTTTTACGTTAATGGTTTTAGTACTTAACCAAATTACACCTTAATTATTTAAACCATTAACAAAGATTAAAAATATACAAAGATTTAATCAAATTTATCTATGTATTAAATTTATCTATGTATTTCTATGTATTGGCGGCGTAAGGAAATCCACTACCCTTATCATGCCATGGGCTAAATCACAAAAGAGGTGACAGTGGAGAGCTAAAACAGGAGGTGAACAGCAGCATCCTTCTGCTAACAGCTCAAACTATTTAAAAAAAACTATGGTTGCCAACCCGCCTATACTCCGAGAAGGCAAATGTTTAGTTCACAAAAATTTATTAAATGTAAATATTAAAAAAATTGACACCACAGAGCAAAAATCCGCCTCAAATCGTGGGTCTCTTAAAAGTAAAAAGTTCAGTAAAAGAAATGTCAAATAATTTTCGCCTCAGCCACCGGCTATATATCACCGACACGCGATATCTAAAACGACTATGTCGCTAACAACTATGTTGTCTAGTACTGAGATTACTCATCCATCTCTATTATTAGCATAAAATAGTAACATAATGCTGCTATGTTTCGTATGGTGAGTATATAGAATCGGAGACCCTATCTTACTTTTAACAAGGCATTTTACTTTAGTCCTCAGGGATGACAATCCATATATCTTTTTGATTCTTTATCTGAGGTAGATGTGGGTGATGCCTATGGGCAACATAACCTTGTGGACTGTGTGCCCCTGTATCACGTTTATTTCTAAAAAAGGCTATGCTGGCAACAACTTGTCATCTGTTAATGAGATCTTCAATTCCTATATCAAGCATTGGAAATAACAATATTGCTTAAAAGGAATGTAAACAGGTATGGATTTCTATAGTGGAATATTATTACCTTGATATTTCACAAAAATATGAATAATAAGTACATGCTTTTGTAATATAAGACAAACAATGAAATAACGTCTTTAAAAATAAAACATAATACTAGTATCAAATGTTGTACTCGTATATGCCTTGACAGTCTTGTTTGTATTTGCAAGTCAAATTCCTTCGTTTACGACGCGAAACCAGATTTTACCATTTACTAGTGACATTATGTGCTAAGATAACAAACTCTTCCATTAAATAATTGTCTTACTGTTCTTCAGCTTATGTGCTAAAATCGTCTATATTCAAATTGAAAAAGGCTTAATAAATAGAAAGAACTTTTAATATTGTGAGTCAATTTATAAATTTAGTTTTTTGTGATACTTAAGGATATTTACATATAAATCAGATAGTTATTATACAAAATCTCTAATATATTTTAAAATCTTTCATTGAGAAGAAAAATATGTACATAATTTTAATTTTGAAATATAAACAAAATAAAAAAATGCTATAATAGAAAAACCAAAACTAAAGAATTAAATTATCATACAATCCAACTCCCCGTGGCATTGTGCCTATAACGCTAGCTGCGTTTCCTCCCTGAATGGCTATACATTAGAATTGCAATAATATAACATTATAATTCGAACGCTTCAAATTTAATTTAAAACATCATCACAATCATCACCATCATTAGCATCAGCATCATTTTCATAACAGACAAAAACTTCTCGTTGTTCTAGCGCAAGTGCGACTGTTGATCAGGTTTGAATCCCAGGTCGGGTAAAATCAATTGTTTGGTTTTACCGTCAAAAAATTCTCAGTAGCGATGCGGAGTCTTAGCGATTTTTCACCTCCGTTTCTTGGAAATCACGTAAAACCGTAGGTCCTGCGTCCTTTGTTCGCTCGTGCCGGATTTCGGTTCGGGATTCGGGATTCCGTCCTATCGGACTATGAGCGTGAGGGAATAGAGAGTTCACTTGTATTTGCGCACACACTCGTGCACTATAATCCTGTCCTGCGCAGATAGCTACTCTGGTTGAAACTGGCCGCCGTGACCGAATTTCGGTCTGGAGAATAACCTCTGAGTTACTTTCTATTGATTCATGTAAAGAAAATATTTCAACGCGTTTTCTAAAATTGTATCCGAGGATTTTAATTTTTTTAAGTATTTTTATAAAAATTTGTTTTGTTTCTCTTGCAAGTATTATAAATAGAATTAAAAAAAAATCAATGAAAAGAAATAAGATGGCCTCGTTGGCGTGTGGTGACGGCGAAAGAGAATCTATCACATCATTACGTCCCCTGGATGTCGTAAGAGGCGAAAATCGTAAACGCCAGAAAATTCTTTTAATAGATGGCGGCTTACCATTTCGTTTAAGTTAGACGGAAAATCTCCAGGCGGGTGATGAGCAGCAGCGTTAAAGGTACGAGATGTCTGGTACAGCAATTCTCAATTTGACTGCCAAGCGTGAAGACTAAAGCCGCGTCTCCACCAAAGTTTTGTTGCCAACACAACAGTTGCCAACAAAACTTGTTTCCATTTTCGGCGGCAACATCAAAGGAATACGCTTGTTGGCAAAATTTGTTCTCTCGGTGGAGACGCTTGTTGGAAACAGTTGGAAACATAACTGTTGTCAACATTTTTGGTGGATACGCGTATTAAGACAATTTCTCTTTGTAACGGAAGAGGACCTTTACTATTAGTGATAGAACTTTTTTCGGCCTTGAAATCCGTCCGGTAGGTACATCTCTCTTACCTATTTCGCCTTCAAATGTTAGTTAGAGCTTACAAAGATAAGTTGCGGTCTGAAGAGTATAGAGGGCTAGTATTATTACAGGAATTCTATCTTATTATTCAAGACTGTGAGGCATACTGCTATCGACAAAGAAAAATCTCGTAT